ACACAAATGTGGAACTCACGTGTGGGGAAAGAAAGGAGCATTTTTATGGACAAGTGAAATGGCACCTGAAACTGATTAAATGGTGGAAGATACACATGTGCTATATTTTTTAATCCAGGTTCCAACAGACATTCAATATAATTTGTTTAAATTTGCAAATAAAGACAGAATTAATCTGATATCTATGACAACTACCGCTCTCCATTGCCTTCTCCTCTTTCACTCTCAGCAAGTAGCATACAACAGGATATGGTAGTTTTCCAGCTGGCCAAATGACAGCACTCGTGAGAACAATGTCAGACTCCAACTTAAAAGGCTTCTAAGGAGAGAAGCCAAACTTTGCCATTTTAATATGCTGGAACAGTTTGTGGGAAGAGAATCGCTCTTCCCTGAACCTCTCTTCAGTATAAAAAGAGATTCAGCAGAACTTTGGAAACCTGTAAAAATAAGCATAATTAAAACTACATCCCAGTCTGAGTTATTAGCTGGCTATCTAGCAAATGAACTGGAACTGAATTCTAATCCTGTGTTGGTTTTGATATTTTGGTTAAGTGATACATGTGATACTTACTGCCTGTGCACCTTTCAGTAACAACATGGCTAGATACAAACATGCTGTCTCTGCTGTTGAGAAATAACTTGCCCTGGTATCAGCATTTCAGCTTCCCTTTCCTTTGCCCTACACTCTCTGCTCCTCTAAGTTTTGTTGCTTCTAGTTGCTGTCTATGGAAAGAGGACCAGCATTAGGAGAATCTCCTAGGGCTTGGCCAGCAGGTAGTTTCTGAAAATGAAAAACCAATTTGGTCCCAATGTCTTCCCGTTCGTGCACGTGCAACTTGCTTAGTAACTATAGCTGTGTGTCTCACGTATGTTGTCCTGGCAAAACTTAGTTTTACCAAGCCCATAAAAGTACATGTGAGGTGACTAACTTCAAACATTAATTTAAAATTTTATATATAGGTTGTGGGGGTTGGTGATGTCCGACTTCTGATTCCTTAGAACTCACTTTGCCAAATATATGTATTCTGAAAATGCAAGGTGAAATTTGTACAAAAACCTTCTTTCACGAGCTGGGTTTTAAAGAATCCTCATCAATAATGCAAGTTTTGAGACAAGTCAGAGATGTTGCAGCACTTGGCATCAGCTGCCGAGTTTGGCTGACGGGGTCTCCCCAGCAACAACTGCTACCATAAACCATGTGAAAACATTTCCAGCACAAATGCTGCACCGAGTCCCATTTCCCACTGCCAGCCAGCGCTCTGAGCTTGCAGCCTAATCACTAGGCAGGAGGGATCTTTTTAATGCACTTTACCTACAGGCTGCAAAAGAAATGAGTTTGCAGCAGGTAATGGGTCAAATTTACACCGACAAAAATATGACAAGCAGCCAGCCCTGGCAAGGTGAAAATTGCCCAGGAGAGCTCTCAGCTGAAGAAGATCCAAACAAATTCAACTCCTGCACTGCCAAAACTGCCAAGTTCAAGGCAGCAGGGGTGTTTCGGGGCATGCCTGGTGTATAAATATAACACATGTTGTTCCAGCCTCTCCCAGGTATTACGTGGTGCTCTCTCATGGGACTCCAACTGAAGTACAGCCCCCAAGCTGCTGTGTTCCTCACTGGAGATAAGGTTCAGCCAAGCTCATAATCAGGGAGTGGGTATTTAGTACCGTAAAGAATCTGGGCAGATCTCCATGAGCTTGGCAATGATGATGTGCCCAACTCTCTGGTTAAACTGCCAGTGAACAGCAGGCCATCCAAGTAAATGAAATTAGCTTATACTCTAGACACAGGGGTGGGACCATGTTAACCCCAAATTGATCAAATAGACCTGCTGCACAACCAGAAGTTATTTACCTCAGAGCAAAATACAGAGTATCCTATCACACACAGTCCTGGTAATACCAGCAGACCCGTGGCTGGACTAAAGAAACAAAACCACGGCGGAGATCTTCATACACACCCTGGGCGTGTACAGGGACTGGATCCCAGGGTTTCACATACAGAAAATTTTGAGGAAAAAAGAAAATGAGTTTATGAGTAAGGCACCAGGATTTAGGTTGCAGCTTATTTCAGTTTGAACTTAAGGAAAGTGATACTATAGCGACAAATAAAATCGTGAGGCCAAGACTGTAATTTTTGCAGGCGGCGAGGTAGTTAGCCCTAGCAGCTCCACTCATACTGCTGGCTCACAGTTGCAGACCAGTAGACTTGTAATCGTACATTTGAGATAAAAGCAGAAGCAGGTTTGCATCCCAGCTCCTGTACCTGCAGCGTTCAAAGCTCCACTTCTTCCCTACAGGAAGAGAAACAAATGTTTCCCAAACTTGATCTGCCTTTTGCTATTCTGAGGCATCTGTCCTGTCTTGAAGCAAAACATTTTGACATTTCCAGGAGACAAAAAAAAAAAAAATCAGTCCTTTTCTAAAACCTCAGAGCACAACAATATTTTTTTTTTTTATCTATAACAACCTAAAACCTTAAAACCTCCCACCCTATCATTGTGATCATCTACTTTCATCACAAATTATTAAGCAACAACAGCAGTGCACAATCTTCTAATTTATCTGAAATTTGCTATTATTTTCAACAAGAGGGGGGAGAACGTGAGGGATGAGTGATGAAACATTTCTGCAGAGTTCACAATCTTTCATCACAAATTATTGAGCAACAACAGCCGTGCACAATCTTCTAATTTATCTGAAATTTGCTATTATTTTCAACAAGAGGGGGGAGAACGTGAGGGATGAGTGAGGAAACATTTCATAAAGTTTAAATCCTGGGTTCGGGTAGGGATATGAGTATCTCCATACACAGCACAAACCAAGTTTCCAGCATCCATGGATGAATGAGGAAAGTTTGAAATACTACCTTGAATCCTAAACGCTTTGAAGTGACAGACTGAATACCATTTATGAATGCCCAGGCTGGCAATATCCCAGAAGGGCTTTGTTTGTATTTTACACTAAGGCCCTTGAAGCCACATATGTACTTCATAAATGAATAGATAGCAGGAGCAATTGCTCAGTTTGCTTTGTCTAATTCATCTTGTTATGTTCCTGGTGGTAGCTGAGCAAAAGCAGAGCTGAAAAGCAATTTTCTTAATAAAATACACAGAAGTGTCGTGTTTCCCCCCTCCAGATTTTAAAAAAACCCAACAACCAAACAGCCAAAACCAAACAAAAACTGAAACTTTCGTAGTGTATCTGTTTTCTGGTGGTTTGAGTACTTTTTATCTTAAACACGTATGTATAATGTTGGAGATATACATGTAAAGCTTCTTTAGATTCCTCAAATGACACCAATAGGAACAGAGCAATAATAAACTACTTAGTCAATGAAGAAAGACTGATAATAAACAACTACAAAGCAAAAGCAATTCAATACATCCTCAGCAAACTGAACTAGACCTGCTATCATCTTGCCAAAAGAAGGACCTTAACTAGTATGAGAGTGTGTCTGCCATCGCAGAGGACAGGCCGTAAGGACCCAGGTGGACCTTTCCAGTCTGAGCTACTGAAAAATTATTCTGCGAGTAATATACAGTTCCTCTTTTTCTGTGTCTTCTTGACAAATAGAGTATCATCCCAAACACTGACATGTGTCAGTAACAGGTATCCTAGAATACAGGCAAGCTCACTTTCACAGGTGTTTTTCTGAAGCAGAAAAATTAATTTACTCCACTGTTGTTAAACATAAGATCAGCAGGATATCGAGTCAAACACTGAAGCCAGACACCTTGCCTGACCTCGCAGACCTCAAACTCCTTCATACTCTGCTAAGATTCATAGCAGGCACCTTACATTTCTGCCTGCTATTTTGTTCTCTACAAGAACCACCCTAACCCTGCAAAGAACATTTAAACCATCCTGCGGCTCCCAGAAGTATTACACTGATTTTGCTAAACAGTATCTAGGTCCACATCTGTAAGTTTATGGACTAACTGAACTCATGTTGAAGTTAATAAAAAACTTCCCAGCAATTAAAAGAGGAATTTGGTCAGACTCAGGGGGCACACAAGCATATGTCTGACCAGCTTTGAAATTAATCAAGGTAGGAGAGGAAAACTTCGGGCAGTAAAATATTGAAACTCTAGAGAGAATTGTGTTCTATGTTTAATACATCATCCAAATTATAAATTGAAATTATTTTTATGGCATTAAGATGAATAGCATTTTTGTGAAGCAGACAATCATCACAAGAGATACAATGAACACAGGTTTTTCAACGTCATTAAGCACAATTTTCTTCTTGCAAAAATACAGATGTTCATGTAACACAGTTTGTAAATAGAAAAACAAGTCAGTCAGTAAAAATACCCTAAATATTTAAGACATTTTTCTGTTGAAAAAAATCTTAGTTTGCTCAAATTAGTGTTCAAGTTTCTGCAAATCAATCTGCACATATCAAAGAGACTTAGTAGGCGATCTACCTCGATTGCCAGAGGGCAAATTGTGCTGAATCCCACTGACAAACAAAGGCCCTTTCCCCTGGTGGAGCCAATGTTAGGAATGATGCCTACACACCATCCTCAGAATTAAAAGCCTGAAGTAAAAATGCTTTCTAAATACATGTAATGGGTCAGACAGTATATGCTATGATTTACATAAAGATGTATCGCATATAAATATTTGAATTGCAATCAGCTAGTAGCAAATGTGGAAAAGCATCCCGAGGCAGATACCACTTCAACTATTTAAATCTCACAAGTTGATAGCAAGAGCATCCTCTTGTATTTTAGAGGCACATTCCAAGTTATTACACCAGTGCAGTTCAGCCAAGTTTGTGACTGTGCTTAAATAGAGACACATGACAAAATTTGGCCCTTATGTTACTATAGCATATACCAAATTCCAGAAGACCTTCAGTGGTCTACAAATACATAGGCATATCAAAAGTTCCTTTGATATCAGGAGTATAACACTGATGCAAACATGAAAAATGTATTTATGTAGGTGAATATAAATATTTACACAGTAAAGGCATATATAGAAACATCCTACCTCTCTCTAACCCACCAGTACAGTATGGACATAAACTGTTCGGACAGGAAAAAGAACTAGAGACAGGTCATTTTTTGCCTGCACTTTTGCTTTTTAGTTTGCTGTATTAGAAAGTTGTTAATGTCCCACATTTAATTAAATAGCATAACACAGAGATAATCGAATGAAACCCTTTCCACTGCACAGTAAGTTTTTGCCTCTGAATTACTTTTTCAGAAATCATTTGCCTGGTAGAGTAACAATTTTTAGGAAGTCAAATTTCTGCCTACGACAGAAACAGTAAGTGTAGTAAATACATGTCTTAGAAAAGGTCAACCTTTCCAAGTAAGCCACACCACATGACAGAAAAGTCTGTTACTACTCATACAAACATACTATAATAAAGGTAACAAAGAGCTGTATTGAACATCTCAGCTAGCATGGTACTTATAAGTATTCTTAGCACAGTTTTTCTTAAAACACTGCTCTTTTCTTCAGTGGTCTATGCTCTCTGTGGCTTTTCTCCTCAGAAGGTTTTTTGTATGCTCACCTTACTCAACAGCTTCAATGTAAATTAGACTAGCAAAGTGAAATCACTAGTGGACTGATTTGCTTTTCTCCCATCTGCTACAGAGACCTTGAATTAGACAAGCTCTTGAGATGAGAACGAAAGAATACAGTAATGGTTTTTTTGTGTGCTTTTTTTTTTTTTAAAGAGAAGTGTTATTGAATTGAAATTATTTGACAGCCTTCATAAGGCTGTAAAAGCCTAATTCTCTTGTGAAAATTTATTCCATAGGTGGCTCCCACTATACACAGTTCCTACCGTTGACATATCTTCTGAGAGATAGGTAACTAAGAGTCTAACTTCAGTGCCGCCAAAGATGAAGGGGGTGAAAGGCAGGCGCCTTCAGTCAACTCTGACCAGTTTGGGAAGGAAGGTGCTATTTTTTGTTAGCATAGCTTCCGCTGGCAGGAAGCAACAGATTGTGTACGCACCCAAGTGCAAGACCAGGCGAAGTAAATAAGGTAAGTTTAAACCACCTTTGATCGTCACTTAGGACCAAAGTTTCTAACTGGTTGCTGAAAACCAGACAGGCTTCGAAGAGCCTGGGAGCGGGATATTTTCTGTTCACCACTACGGAGCCGGAGAGCAGCTGCCTTTTGCTTCACTTGCATCACTGATTTACCACAGAGTTAAAGAAGCAGTTAAACACAGGAATTCAGTCTGCATGTAGCATCTGCTTGATTAACATACAGTGAAAAGAATAGTACAACAAAGCATGGGATTTCCACCCCAAACTGGCAGTCAGTAACTCCTAAGCCAGACACTTTCATAGGTGGCTCAGGCTATTCTCAAGGGACCTGTGCGACAGCCACTGGAGTTCACCTATTACCCTACTTGTGTCCTAAAGCATTTTTGAGTTTAATAGCTGCAATCATAGGGAATGCGTGGAGATTTTCTAGCGCAAATCTGTAGAAAGACTTTAAGCCAGAAACTCAGTCAATATGCCATCTTTTTTATTGAGACAACTTGACTACATCGCAGTAGTTATTTATAGTCCAGCTTTAGACGTATCGTTTATCTTAACTGAAAGCTTTACAGCTGAGCAATTCCAACCACTATTTAAAAAGCCTGCCTCCCAGAAGAAACACTAGATACAATTCCCAAATTATATGCAATATTTTCCATTATTTCTTGAAAACAAATACACAATAGTAAAGACATTCTACAGTAAAATACTTTAAACAGGGTTCTGTTTAAGGTGACTAAGCAGTTGTTGCCATGCTCAACCCGCTAGCAGAGCGAGCGACACATTTTAAATAGTTGTCTGGTTGTTTTTCCTAATAAAGGGAAACCTCCTGCCATTTTCCCCACTTCGTTACAAGCAAATGCCATAGCTCTACCCTGAGCTCTCCTTCAGGGGATTCTCTGTTCCTGTCCCCCACTCCCACAGAAATCCTTACAATTCTCCTCTTCTGTGTCCCTATTCCCTTGCTCCGTGAGACTTCCCCGCGCTTGTGCCAATCCTACTGCTACTATGCTTTTCTGCTGCTGTTTCTGCATTTAATCTTTTCAAAGGTTACCAAATATCTGTAGCTCCATGGCCAAGATTGTCCCTAGGCACACCCTTTTTTCTCAGCTGCTCTCAAAGGCTGAATCCACAGTTCGTAAGCACCTGAGCTGCTCGCAAGCCTCAACTATAAAACTGAAAAATCTCCCACTGTCACATGTAATCATTTTTCATCTCATTAGTGGCATTAGGCAGAAAGGATAGAGGGACGTTGCCCTAACACAGCTGAAGCCACTATTGATACAAACCCATCCATTGGTGCAAAACTGCAGGTGCTTGTTTCAAGTTGATACGGGCCTATTTCAATGCATCTGCAGTCTACCACGTCTTTCATGTTAAATCTCAAAACTAGAGTAAACCAGCTTCATTAATCAAAGTAAGAATGCGCACATACAGGTTTTGCACCCACTTAACTACATTTGTTTGAAAACACATTAATTCTGTAAGCTTGACTGGATTTCCCCTTTCACAGCTGTATTGTTTCATTACCCCCTCCTAGAACACGCTGCACTTGCAAACAATAATGTCAAGCCTTATGGATATAAATGGGAAGTTTTATATAAACAATAACCTAAACCGTTTCTTAGTGAGAGGGGAAAATGCTGTCAAAACACACCAAAAAGGATATTCAGATGCAGTTAGCTTAGAGAAAAGGAGAAAGGAAAAAATTACTCTAAAAAAACAGCTAAGAATATGGGTGAGAAAAAACAGTAAAATCCTTTTCCTCCAGTGTAATCCCTCACCTATGCCCTATTTATGTGATTCCTCACAGTATGTTTTGTCCTTATTCCAAGGTTACCGGGACTGAGGGGAATAGGCAATATTGATTAATGGTGTTGCAGAGTATGAAGAGTTCAGCTGGAATTACACATTCCTTGTGTTATTTCAGAAGAGCAGGTGCAAAAACCGTCTCAGTTTTAGTTTATTTTCAGCTTTTCTTGACCACATCTCTTTAATGCAGAAGAGAAACTTTATGATTCATTATCTCACACAGCTTGATAAGCTTATCACAGAATTGGAGAAAGACTCAATCTCAGAGCACGTTCAATCGTCACCTCAAAGGGAAGGCAAACCCAGAATACCATAAACAGCCCCCTGAATGATGAGCTATAAGCCACACTGCATCACTGTCGCTTGTACACAAAATATTTTAGAATTATAGAATCAATTAGGCTGGAAAAGACCTTTAAGATAACTGAGTCCAACCACCAACCTAACACTGCCAAAACCACCACTAAACCATGTCCCTAAGCACCACGTCTGCCCATCTTTTAAATACTTCCAGGAATAGCAATTCTACCACTTCCCTGGGCAGCCTGTTCCAATGTATGATAACCCTGTTGGTGAAGAAATTTTTCCTAATATCCATCCTAAACCTCCCCTGGCACAACTTGAGGCCATTTCCTGTCCGTATTGATAGGAACAGTTTTCCCTGTTACTTGGGAGAAGACACCGACCCCCACTTCTCTACAACCTCCTTTCAGGCAGTTTTAGGGAGCAATAAGGTCTCCCCTCAGCCTCCTTTTCTCCAGGCTAAACAACCCCAGTTCCCTCAGCCGCTCCTCATTAAGACTTGTGCTCCAGAAATTACAGATACAACGGGATACCCTAACCACACTAAACTTGTATTTATTGTCTGTACTTCTCCTAGCTTTTAATTGTCTAATTAACACCAGGTACCCCTCCTAAAATCTCGTGTCCATATGATAGATGTGCACTGGAGCTCAAGACAGGTAATATCTGTAAATACAGTTTCAGCTAGGAAATACAGATCATAACCCCACGAGACAGACACTTGACCTGCAGCACAGCTTCCACATTCCCCACTTGCCCCTTTTCCTCCCTCTAACAAACCAGTTCTTGCTCAGACATGTCCCAACCCCTCTTAGCTTGACACACACTCAAAACTAAAAAGAAAACATTTAACCTGCTGCAGCATTGTTGCTCAAGTGAAAACTTCCAATTCTCGATGTCTAGAGAAAGGTTTCTAAATCTGTATTTAGACACTGGATTTTTGAAGACAGCGAATATGCAGAGATCCTACTGAAGTCAGCAGGCAGTGCAGGCGTTAACCACCTCTAAAACCAGGCCATTTTTATTTAGCTGTCCAAACAGCAAGATAGGATACTATAATTCCCAATATTTTGAGGAATCTGAGACACCCCTTTTATGCCATTTCCTCCTCATTTTCCACCGATTTGTCCCATTTTCTCACCCACATCACCCCAATAGTTTTCTCAGCTCTTGCCCTAAACAAGTCTTGAGATAACAGAGCTCAGGTAAATTCTGTTTTGTTTTTAGGACCTTCTTCTCTTCCAGCCTTATAGGATTACATCCATCTCACTTGGGGCATCTATCTATTTAGCTGTCTGCCCTCCCTTTTTGACGCAGCTTGAGCCTCATCTTTGGTGTGTGCATCAACCTACTCTCTTCAGTCCAGTTGTCTTCTCCGTCTTTCTCCCCTTTTTGATTCTCAGCCTCATTTTATTCCCTGATATCTAGGCAGCAGAAAACCAGCAGCAGTTCAAAGAAGCAGGGCAATGGACATCATCCACACAGACAAAGAGATCCCCACCACCATCACCTGCCAAAATGGGCATTATTAGGGCAGAGGAGGGAGCCCAATGCTTTCACACTGTCTAGTCGGAGAGCCTATGATCAGAAACCCCCAGTATGGGAGAATCTGCCTTTCCACCACTTAAGAACCAAAAGCAACCATGCTCCCTCCTCAGCCTGCCAGGGAAACACACAAACTATAGAGAGAAAACAAAATTGGCTATGTGATGACAAAGTTAGTGGATGAACAAAGCAGCATGCTACGTGTTTTGTCCAATATGCCAGGTACCCAGCAACCAGTTTCATATTCAGCCCCACCAAAGCTGTGTCCTGAACCCACCCGCAGCCCTCTTGGCCAACTAATGGCTGAATTTTTCAGCTGGAATATACTACTGCTGTACGGAGACACCATGAGAGAAGGAACCATCATCTTTCAGGCAATTAAGGTCCCATAGAGGTTTTAAAAGTGGAGGCACGCTTTGGGTTGGTGGAAGAGCAATGAAGATAAAGGAGGATTCAGGGAAATGCGCTAAGGAAAACTCTTTTACAAAATTGATGGGCCATTACCTTTTCTCTCTTCCTTGTTAGCGAGCTGCTCAGAAAGCAAAGGGCACGCACCAGCAGTTGAGAAGGGGAGACAAAACCCAACCTGAGGAATGATTAATGTACAGTCCTGCAGCTCACAAGTGAGAACAACTCTTTTACAGCTTCACTATGCTAATATTTTCCAACACGCTTTTAAAGCCCAGGAAAAAAATCATGTCATGGGTGGCTTGTTAAGAAGCAAACACAGCACTGACAATTACTCACTGATACACTTTGTTGCTGTCTTTGTTGCTGACTGGGGCTAAACCACGACATACACCTGTGATACCACAAACACTCTAAGTGCCAATGACCTTATTGATCTTGAAATCAAACTATTTAAGCAAGAGTGAGGACTTTTCCTATTTGCAAATATTACAAATGAATCATCATGGCTCTGTATTCAGTACAGCAGGAGAGGAAGACTGTACAGAACACAGTGCGTTTTACTTTTAAAAAAAATCACACGGTATTACCTAAGACACCAAGTCTGCCAAAAGGATGGACAGATACAGTATGTTTATTTTCCTTTTATGCCCATATATATGTATCAAACATAGGAGCTCAGTGTCTACACATATACATACATAACCACCAATTTGTGGGAATCTGCTTTTGTTCATGACTTTATGAAGGTACTCCAGCTTTTCTTAAAGTCAAACCTATTTTACTGACTGATTAATTGAAAACAAGGGATGCTACCTTTCCAAACAGAAAATCACCACGCAGCCTAAGTCAACAAAACGAAGAAGCCTTTGCTTATCACAGAACTGTTAAATAAAAGAAACTCTAGAGGTCAGGATAATGGCGCAATGTATGGAGAGAGTGATTACAGCCTCCCGGAAGATGTTTCTGCCTGAGGTAAGTTAGCAGACACATCCTCAGATTAAACTTTCATCAGCAGATCTCTGTATTTCATCAATCTTTCATTATGGCATAGCTTAGAAAATCATCTGGTCAGGTGTCATTAGAAAACCTCTTCATCTTCCAAAGCAAAATCTATCCAAATAAATTACTAAAAGCAAAACAGAGTTAAAAAGGAGGGCCTGCAGATCATTATGGGGTTCAAATAGCTCAAAGTAGAGGAAAATATACATTTCTGCAATATTTTAAAATTGAAACACACTATTTCACAACAAATCCAATATATTTTATTATACAGGCTCTTGGACCAGAAGATGTAGCTAATTAACAAAATTCACGTGAAACAACTTGGAAAAGCTTCATCCCAGAAACTGGGATTTCATCAACTTCCCGGACAATTAATCCACCAAAGCAGCAACGCGATCCCCTCACTTTTCTCTGATGATAGCAAACTCATAATCAGGGGAAGTTGTTTTAGGAATCAGTGAATGGCTCTGGTGTTTCTCACCTCAGGACCAATAAGCAATTTTACCAGGACGAGCCCATGGACTGCACGCTAACGTACACATGAAAAGAGATGCAGTGCCATTTCCAGCTCAACAATATGGTTTTCTCAGATCAGGTTCTCCTGTCACCAAATGCTTTTTTCTTGTATGTTAGTGCTTCTTCAGCAAATGCTACATCATTTATGCCACCCTTCATAGCATGTTTCCTATACTGAACCTCTCTATGCCCAAAACACATTGTACATCTGATTACTAAGTCATAAGTTTGTTCTTTCTCCTTGTCTTTTGAATCTTCTTCTTTTGGATGCAGCCTGAGTTTACTTACAAATAATGGCTACACCGCTTTTCCTAAAATTGACCCATTAAAAAAAAATAAGATAAAATTAAATTTCAAAAAGAGTGGGCTCCAGTCCTGAAAGTCATACTGGACACAAAATTTCTGTAGAAGCATATACCAAAATTCTTACAAAGGGCTAAAAATAAGAAAGCTCTGAAATCAAACTTCTTAGGATGAAAAAAATCAGATTCCAATAAAAGTGGCCAAGAACATTATTGTGCAAGCAAATGAAATATTAAGCCTGGTTTTGATTGTGTTTATATATTAAACCTTCAATAAACTATTTCTTGCTGTTATTTACAGCAGCCAATCAAGAAAAGTCATGTTCTCTAGAAACAAGAAATGTTCACTGTCAACACAGAAAGACCAACTCCCACTTCTGATGGTAGAAATATGAGGAAAGATTAGTTTATTTGCTCTGCCATGTTCTCTGTGTTGTTAATGTCACAAATAAAATCTCCTTTCAGGAAAACAGTAGAGGAAATTTCTACCTTTTATGACCAAGAGGGAGAACACTTGTTTTGTTTGATTATTTTTTTTTTGTGTGTGTGTGTGGGGGTGTGGTTTTTTTTTTTAAACTTGGACGTGTCAATCTCCCACATACTCCATAACTAAGTTGTTGGGGTTTTTTAAACAGAAACACTAATTTCTGCTGAAGCCTCAACAGAACCGGAATTCATCTTTGGTCCCCAGATATGGAATGAAAAAAGGCAGGACTGGGATCAGAGATGCTCTTTCCTGTACGTTGTATGTAGCTTTTGGTAAACATTGCGAGACACCATGGCAGATCCATAGGTCAGAGCAGACACAAAGACCTGCGCACACAAAACCTTTCCCGCCAACTCTTGTCCTGTTGATGGGGCTTACATTCACCTAGGAGAGTTTGCTATTGCCTCCCACCCCCAGATACATTTCACCAAAAGCTTACAACATTCTTGGTGCTGCATGGTTGCAAAAGGCACATTTCTCTTAAATGTCCCCTTTCAACATCAATATTTCTATGACCAGTTCTGTCTTTAGGAGAAGCAGGTAACCAGCCTGAAGAAATGTGACTCATTATCTTATAAACAACATAATGGAATGATTTTACTTTCTAATGAGATTTAAATATTTGAAAAAATAACTGTAAATGCTTCAAAAAAAAAAAAAAAGCAAAGCTGGCTTCGTCTGTAAAGCTGCATCACGTTTAGGTGCCCCTTAGATGCTCTATTTATTTCCTGACCAAAGCAAGCTACTACAAAATCTGACTTGAATGGAAACGTCCAATGCACTCATTTTCTGAGGCAAACAAAACACTCTAATGGTTTATTCATAAGAAGTTAAAACCTTTTTACTTCCCACCATTTCAAACTTGATTTACCACTTTTAGATCTCTAAAAAAATCTGCACCAGTGGAAATGAAAAACAGTAAAAAAGCCCACAACTATCAGTCATTTATAGAAGTAAAAAATTTAAAAAGATGGAATTAGGTCACAGAAACATTTATCATAGAATAGTTTGGGTTGGAAGGGACCTTTAAAGGTCATCCAGTCCAATCTCCCCTACAACGAGCAGGGACATCTTCAACTAGATCAGGTTGCTCAGAGCCCCGTCCAACCTGACCTGGAATGTTTCCAGGATGGGGCATCTATCACCTCTCTGGGCAACCTGCACCAGTGTTTCACCACCCTCATTGTAAAAAATTTCTTCCTTCTATCTAGTCTAAATCTACCCTCTTTTAGTTTAAACCAGTTACCCCTTGCCTTATTGCAACAGGGCCTGCTGAAAAGTTTTTCCCCATCTTTCCTCTAGGCTCCCTTTAGGTACTGAAAGGCCACAATAAGGTCTCACCTTTCCTTTTGGAAATTTGGCCAGAGATAATCAGAAACTTTGGGAGGGATTAAAGAAATTTCAGAAAATCTTTTCCTGGGAAAGACTTTTCAGGTCCAAAATGACACTTCCCATCAAAAGTCAGAGATAAAAAAAACCAAACCACCCTACTATTGCAAATATCTCAACAATCAAACACGGACACAAAAAGCAGCAGCTTGTTAGTGTTATTCAATCTGCACTACCCATGTGTCAAGATGGGTACTGTCCAAAGATCCTGGAATTACTCAAGGTGAATGTCAGCGTTTTTGATACATGAAAATGCTCAGCGGCACAGGGAGACAGCTCACTGTCCCGCTCTAAGTCAGTCACCTTCACAACCCTGTTCCCACAGCAAAGTTACATGACAAAGAAGGATGCTACCAAAAGAAGACCAGTCAGGAATGAAAGTGAAGGAAAGACTGGCTCCGTGGCAGGAAGGCCTTTAGCACACACTCATGGTTGCTCCCTACGGCAAGGAAGAACTTCAGCTCGCAGGCAGTCAGGTTTCAAGGACAAACCTCAGTTTTCTGCAACACCCTTAGGAATTTTCTTGCATCAAGATCTTTAAGTAATTGTAATGGCTTAAAACCATTACTCTTCCCTCAATCCAACTTTTTTCTCCATCAAATCAAGTACCTCAAGATAAGTCAAAACACATGCATGCAGTCAGAGTGTAAGCAGTGTATTTAACTTGGACCAGCAGGAAGACATGCTTTCACATAGCCAGCAGAAACATACTACAGGACATATTTGAAAATATGATTTTATATTAAAAAAAGTATTATATATATCGGAAACAAAATAATGTTGCATGTGCAGTTTTATGCACCTGGCTGAATTCATCTGAAAGGTTGCTCAATACAGGTTTAGCAAAACAGCATAAGTGATAAACTGTGAAAACCAGAGATTTTAAAAAGTTAGACCAGCAAGGAAAAGAAGACTTTACTCATCCTCACATTGCCCCTGGGACACAATTACTCAATCAAATAAATAGCTTTGATACCTAACTTGCTCCAGGCGCATGTGTACGCTGTATCAGCAGACAGAAATAGCACCAAGTCAAGAGGGATAAGGAGAGCTTAGACTCACCGGCCGTTGTCACGCCCCACACCCCAGACTCTGATGCTCACAATGGGCTGCGAATGAAGAACTGTGCGGTCCATGGGGTCAATCAGGTTCAGCATGTCATTTTCCAGTATAAGGTACATGTCTTTGCCCTGCAACTCCAGACAAAGTACAGTTACACAGTACATACCCCTTCAAACTGACTGGGATCAAGATGTTACGCCTATGCTGTTCAGACTTGCATGCTCTTAATTTACTCAAAGTTTCAGTTTGTTCCAAGCCCAATTGAAAACAAGTTCATTTACTTCTGGTGCGGAAAAGATCTAAGATAGTGTAAGATAGTATCTTGCTACTACTATATTTTTAAATAAGCCCGATCACAAAAAGCTTTGATGTCTTTTAAATGCAACTGTTTGACTCATTCAACCCCAAGCTACTGAATTATTCAACAAATTACATGTTTATCCTTTCTCAAGTAAATTCTTCCAAATACAATAGAAGTCAAGGACTGTCTTAAGTAACAAAAGCTCACATCAAAACCTGTTCTCTTAAGGCAGAGTTTCTTCCTTCAAACAATGTGCTTTGTTTTCATAAACTTTAACCAACCAGTCATGGGAACAGAAAGCAATTTGTAAGTGTCAAAGGATTTACAGGATACTTTGTAGAAAGATTAATTAAAGAGGAAAACCTAGCATTAAGACATGAACCCAAATTCTGCCAGTGACTGCCGAATCCTGGAGCCAGGACTTCTCCCTAATTCTTCTGGCATGTAAGAACAAGAAGAATGCTTTTCCACCCCCAGAGGAAACAAACTTAGAGGTAATTTGCCTTTTGATGCTAATTTGTAAATGCTAACCTTCCTCCTATGGTTAGCATTTGCAAAAGGTCTGCTGCCTCTTCCATCACATTTACTAGCTCTCTTCTCAGAGGCTGTGCACCTGCTCTGTGGACCACGGGATCCCATGGAAATGATCATGGACCTATCACCAAGAGGTAAGACGAGCTCCTGCTGATAATAATAATAAGAAGGTGGGAGCTATCAGCTAAATATAGAGCAACTTGTTTCCACGCTATTGTACCAGAATCTATAAATGAACAGAAAGAATGGAAAGGGTCTGACTTCCTACTGACACGTTTCAAAAATGACCTTTTTCTTCACCTCAGTGACACAAAACCCCTCTTCCCGCTTGGTTACAGTGGCTCAAGTCTTAATGATGTCTAATTTTGTGTCTAAGACACGCATTCATGCCATCCTGGGAGGGCCTGCTTCCAGGGTTTCCAGGCTGGTGGAGGTGCTGCTGACCACCTCTCCCCCCTCCAAAATCTCCTAACAGGGACTGAAAGGGGAGCTGTGACACAGAGCTGGCAGCGCAAGCACCAAGAGGAGCGTGGGAGAGGAAGGGGATGCAGACTGGTATATGCAATGCCAACGCAAGAACATTTTGCCTGATGGAAAAAGTACAGCTGCGGCTGAGATGCAAGGTTGGAGATACAGGCTGCTCCTTGAGAAGCACAAACAGATGCAGCTGCGATCACCGTGCATGTAAATGGGGTGAATCAGCAGCATTGAACCGCTTGTGGCATACAGAAACAGAAACATGGGAAATAAAACGCAGAAGCCAGGATGGCACCAGGCAGACCTGGATGATGAAGGAAACCAAACAGAAAACAGAATCATTGCAAACAAAAAGGGTGAGAAATTTGCTTGGAGGTCAGAAGCAGTAAACAGATTGTGTGAAGAACATTACCAAGTGTCACAAAGATTGCTTTTTGGACCCATTTTCTACTTATATATTTATTCCAGAAGGAAATTATTATAAGAAGGTAAAATCTGTTCATCATGCAAAATAGACTGGTATTAGGGTAATAAAACTGAACCCAAATTAGCTGGAAAAGATTGGAGAATGGGCAGATAAGCAACATAAGTCACAGGAAATTATCCTTGCAATGCTCAAGGGATAGCTTGGCCACAGCCAGAAGCAATATATTTTGCTATGTTTTGTTGCCTTATTATACAAAGGCTATTTTAGAGATAAAAACACTGCATAGGGCAAGAAGACATGATTTAGACAGACTGGGAGCTTGAACAAAGACCTCACTGCATCAGACTGCTGAAGCGTGGCAGAGACCTGATGGTCCACGATGAAGGTGGCTCTCACTTGGAGAGCCACGCAGGGAAGTGAATAAAGTAAAGAAAGGCTCAATCCCAGCAGCCTTTCAGGGAAACGTTATATATTGTGGTATGCAGGACAATGGCAACAACGTCTCTCTTTCATGTGAGTGATTTTGTAATCTACAGGAATATAATGCATGGCAAAGTAGCAACACAAACAGGTGAGTGGTGTTTTTCTTCTTAGATTTTACAGAACCGTGGAAGTTAGAAATTTCTAGGGAATTTCTTTTGGAGAGGAGCAGAGGGCGTGAAATCCCACGTTAAAGCCAGCGACAAAGCTTCTGCAAGGTCAGGATTTTACCCAGAGTGTGTGGGGGGTTTGTATTTTGGTTTTTTTGAATCATGAAAACTTGGGGATGGTCCTACTCCGAATTTCACTTTCATTACATTCTAGCTAAAATAAATCTTTAGGCAATCTTAAAATGTCTATCTGCAGTCATCAGTTCTAGCTTCATAACAGATTGCTGTATCTGTTCCTTCTAATATGTCAATGACTAGCACACTTTTTTAGGATTCCTCTCTGAAATGTGCCTCTTCCAGTTGCTCTTGAAGCATTATATTGCCAGCAAAAAAATGGGGTTGTAATGATTTCTTTTAAAATCAAGAAGACAATTTTCTTCAGGGGCCACCTATTCAAGCACAGTGTCTCTATTGTTTTTTCAGGCAGATTTATATTTTTTATATATATATACACTTTTTTTTTTTTTTTTTTTTTTTTTTTTTACAATGTTTTTTATGAATAGTATTCACAATTAAAACTTCCATTCAAGAAGACCAAAAATTTTCACTGTTTTGGCTTGAAAACCTGCAAGGGTTTCCAACAAAGAACAATGGGACTGACAGAGAGAAACATGGAAAAATGTGAACATTAGCTCTTAAAACAAACTAAAGCATGTGATTTCAGAGTAAATAATATATTTCAAGTTGATCAAAGTTCTGTCATCTGAAAAATGGATGAGATTACACACAGGTAAAGAGTAGGCTTTCCCCTCCCAAGGTCAGCAGTACGTCCAAGTCCATGACGAACACATCTCTAATTTCTTGTCTAGCTATATTAACTAAATAAAACTGTTCCCAGAAGAAAAAGGGAGACCAATGTTATCTTGTTCATTTATATGTACAATATGCATTTTTTACATTAAAAAAACTTCTGAAATTACTTAAAATAGATAGGGCACTCACAGTTGTGTCCCTTAAAACACCACTTTCATTTTTAAACAGGCACCACCTCCCAGTTGTTCCTCTGAAGCGTATATGCATTGCTATGGTCATGGCCAGGACACTGAACACAAACCTTAGACCGTAACAATAACTTGGGAGACTAAAGGATATTTTTCCTAAATTTCTTATTGAAACAGACAAGTCTTTCTTTTAATTTCTCTTCTGTTCGGTAGCGCTCTTTCTCTTGGAATCACAGATACCAGTGAAGGTAACAACATTGACTCTTACGGTCAGTTGTTGCATCCAGATCTTGGGTAGTAAATCCACATTTGGGGTAACCCTCTTGAAAACAGGTCAGGAGAGAGGTAGAGAATAAGATCTTGCTGAAGTTTATGTTGCTCCATGATCAAACATGTAATGAAGATGGTTTTCTATGGGTTTGTCTCCTATGTCCTCCCAACATCCCACAACTATAACCCCATCTTTTCCTTTCTTCTTGTTTTACTTACTGATCCCTCCACACCTTCATCTGTCCCCAGTACACCTCTCTTCCACACCACAACACCTCCAGCTTTTTTCACATTTCTCTCTGCGCTCCCACAGTGTTATCCTGTCTTTGCTGCCAATTCAGAAAGAAGCACAGAGCTTGCACGGTTCAGCTGATGAAGGTGTAGTTACCCATCACCAAACCAGGAAAGCAGAGAGCTGGGCTCTCTGTTTTTCCGTCAGTGTGCAGAAATTTGGCATCTTTCAAAACTGGATGACACTGGTGAACAGATTCAATAGTTATTGGACAGGAACCAACAGACAGACTGATGACATAAAATTAATTTCCTTCTGGAACACTGATAAAATAATAATCTTAAAATAAGCCATCTGCCCATCAGTCTCAATCTTCTCATACATTTTAGAAGCACGGGTCACAGCAGTATAGGTTTCCTTGAAGCCCCTTTTGTCACTGGGAAACGTGTGAAAATGCTATTCCAAAGCACCACTCTCAAATCTCTGGTCAGGAGAAAGACTTCCACTGATTTCAACAGTTTGTTCCAACACTGTTGCACAGGTGTGTACTAGTATAGGTGTAAATGCAAGGATGATGTCTTTGTGGCATCTGCTGTCCTGAAAAGCTTGGAACACTTTCCATAAACACTTTCCTTGAACCCTTTAATATTTTCTAGCAGTGCCAGCTGGGATAGGGAAATCCCAAACACACAGCATGGACATATTTGTCTACAGTGTTGTTCTTTCAAGACATTTTACCACGCAAGGGGGATGTTCGACGAGGACAAAAAGTTCACCCCGTTCTTACCTCTCCCCAAATGCCGACAGTGTCTCTGATATCGTTTTTACAGTAAGAGAGTTGTCTGATGCAATTGTTCACAGCAACACTACTCTTTCCAGGAGCAAGATCTTCTTCTGCCATTTCTACCCAGCCCAGAGATCGCACAGCAAAGCACTAAAAAGAAACCAGAGAATATCTGAATAAGTATCAGAGCACAAAACATGCTGCTGTATTCAGCTAAGGAAATCTTCTCATGCAACCGAAAATGGTCAGTTAAGGTTAAAGATCCCTGTCTAGGAGAACAAAATCAAGACCTTGCAGATGAGCTTATGCTCAAAGATACATAAATTAAATTATAATTTGACAATGGCAAAGTAAAAGCATTCAAAGGAACAAAGAAAACATGACTTGGCAGGAAAGGTAGCTGTGGAGGTAAGAGTAATTCTTTACAATAAAATACTTTCGTTAATATAAAGGAGGAAACAAGGGAGCAGTAAATAGTGGGATACACAACCACAGAGGAAAAAAAAGGAAGAAGCACAAATACAGATATAGTGGAATTGAAATTTTAGCGAGTATCTAGAGCTCTAATTGAAAAGAAAGAAAATACAATTGGATTACATCTATTGTGAGATTCATACTCACTCGGTATATCTCATTGCCTGGCTTTTAACCAGAAAATTATATTTTTTTTGTGTGTGTGGATTACAGCAATTATTTCTACAGTAAGTTTAACTAAGGTAGTAAACAATAACAAAATCAAAGCACTAACACAAAGATAAGCTATCATAAGAGGAAAGGAGGCTTTTTTCTAGAAGGAATTAAAAATGACCTTTAAAATAAAACAATCCAATTATACAGTTTTTTAGCAAAAGGATGTTTAGCCAACCAGAGCGCTCAGTTGGCAGAACAAGCCAAGGCGACATTACTTTGCACATATGGTGCTTTTTGCAAACAAAACAAAATGGAAGAAATAGAATGGCATCACCTCTACCTTACATTTACAAGGGTAGAGCATAAAAACCTTTAATTCTGAAAAAACCCCACACATTTGCTCCCAGGCTTTATGGTGGGTGAAATACAGACCTCACACTAAGTCAATGGGAGTTTGCCTCTGAGACCAGGATTTCCTCCAGAGAACATTATGGGCATATCTCATTCTTAAATTGCAATGCACTGCCAGAGAAGGATGCACAACAGACTTATTGGTGTAGCTCCCTAATAGGCACACCAAACATTTATGGTAGTCCCTAAAGGTTCAGCAATAATCGTTCCTGAATGACCCCATACCAAATTCCTGCTCTCTTCTTAAGTATTTAATACAGCATCAGACACCGCCACTGAACGATGCCAAATCAAATACCATCCCATCTCTGAACTTGGTTTCCCTGCAACTCTTTGCTTGAATAGTGCACCAGCACTGACACGAAGTTGCACTCACTTCTTATACCCAAATGCTCCTTGCTAGCCACGACACCTCCTACAGAGGTGCAAAAAGCAGGCACAAGTTCCAGAAGAGAGAAAATTTACAATTAATAACTGAAAATCTGCCATAGTATAACATCTCTTTCACCCTGAGCCTCCCCTTGCCAAGACAGATCAAGTATTGACATCTATTAGTACTCAGCCCTTGGTACCCTGCTCGTTCCAATGTTATTCAAACGTTTCTTCTGAAATGTTAATGCTGTCCTGAAATGCTATGTTGTTCTGGTGAACTGACTTGCAATTGTTTCAGTCAATCCAGCGCCCCATTAGGCATTCAGCGCAATTTTGACCTTGCAAAGACCAACCCTCGTTGTCCAGTGCTGTCACCCTGTGCCATAGAGCTTTCTTTGCTGTCAGCAGCATCCCGCGGGTCTCAGGAAGGCAGGCAATGATCCTGGGAGCTGCTCAAAGGAAGCTGGCATTGGTGATACCAGGAACCCCACTGGCTCCAGCAGGACCCTGCCCACACGGGCACACAGCAGCAACAGTAGGCCCATACTGGAGTTACCAATTAATCCCTCTTCTTGAGATAGAGTAAATAAATCAGCTTCAGAGTTCAAAAGCAGACGCTGAATATTCATTTGCTGCCTTCTAAAAACTGCTGTGAAGTCAGTGAGTAGATCAAGCTCACGCATCATCACTGGTGTGCCATTGGGGAACCACTGTCCTCAAAAAAATGCCCCAAAACACCAAGGTATTTTAAATATGCATAATATGTCAACTTTGGCAAACTAAAGGAGGAATAAAATTCACTAGTGGGTAAAAAGATTAATGAGTTTCTCCCTTCTTCCCTTTAAAACTTCTCTCCTACTTCAGCCTTCCTTCAGCTCGCGCAACGCACCCCAGCCAGCCTACTTCACCAAGCAGAAAACCCAGCTAAGAGTCTGCCTCTTGAGCCTCTGGTACCTACTCCAATGAGTCACTAATGATGCATCTCATCTAAGACATCAGACAGCGAATACACTCTGCAAATTGTGCAAAACCCTTTAGCGAGTGTGGGAAAAAAAAATAAAGCCTCTCATGCCTCTAGATTTTTTGTGAAAGTATTATTATTTTTTATCTTTTTTTTTTTTTTTTTGCTTTGCAAGCAAGGAAACCAACAAGCAAATTCTCCTACACTGCTGTTTCCTGACCCAGCTCTGCTGGAAACCCACAAAAGCACCGACTTTCAAGATTTTAAAGGGAGATGAAGGAGAAGGTGAAAGAGGAAACAAAGGAGGGGTCACCACTCAGAGGTGCTCTTCACTTCAGGGCTACAAGAGATACTAAAATATCCATTTTTTTAGCAATTATTAAGGTCATATAATCTCAAGATTGCAGAATTGTTTTTGGCACATCATATGCTCATGAATCTTGCTGAAAGTGGTGTGATGCCCATTGGGGTATTAAATATTTATCTTTGCAAGCTTTTAAAATACAGATTTTTACTGTGCCGGAAGAAAGGGTGTTTTTACAAGTACTTCAATATTATAACAGAATACTAGCAGAGAGAAACATTTTCTACATCATTTTAAGAGCTGTGAAGAACTAAATATATACAACAAGCATACTGTTTCCTCATTACTCTTTGTATCTCAACCACATCTGCAATTTGTTAGCTGCTTTCCAAACACAAACATAAAGATAGTCTTTGCACTGAACAGAGTATATTTTAAAAAGTCAAAAAAATGGTGAAAGACAATCAGTTCAAGCTGACAGGAGGTAAATCTCTGATTAGTAAAGATGGTGAACTGTTTTGGTATTTTTTTTCCTGGCCATTTTTATGCTATGTTTAAAATTCTCCAGTGGTGGCATCCACTCTGTTTCTTTCCTTTCCCAGCCCACTGTCATGACAGTAGAGTGAGCTGAATGGGACACTCTTGCCCATCCCACGTATTCCCCTCCACAGAAGGGCTTGGCTTCCTTCCCCACTTCCATTCCCTCTCAGTGCTTCCAAGCTAGGTAGACGTGAGAAACCCCATTGGGTTCTGGCACCTGGCAAGTTTTTGTTTCTGTGTTTTACAAGAAGCCCTTACCATAACCCATATAAAATGCTTCAGAACAGCTTCATCAAAACAATCTGATTTCCCAAAGACTCACTGCAAACAAAAAAAACCCCTCTCAATAAAACCCAAGAAGTCTCAACACTCCACTCACAATGCAATGCACGTACCTGAGTATACACATACAAGAAACACTCTTTTGCTCAAAATACACCTGAAGACCAAAAACCTTCTACTTCTTAGTTAACTGAATACACGTGCTGGCATGACTCAGAAGTGATGGCAGACTTTCACGAAGATTTCAGCACTGGAAAATATAAGGACTCAGAGTATGTGATACATACCCCAGTTCATTTATCATCAGTATAACAGGAGTACATATACACAACCCTATGGGGCAGGAGAGCGGGGGAAGTGTGCACACACAAACCTGCATGTCTATCTCTCTCTGCATATTGCCAGCAACTCTATTATAAAAGATCCACTTCATGTTTTATTGCTGGTGGGTTTTTTACCCCCTTAATTATTTGACTCAGACATTCTCTTTAAAACAAGAGCACAAAACCCAGCAGAAACAAACCACCTAGTGTCTCTAATCAGGTATGACCTAATTCTTAAAACAGGGCTAGCTGAGTTAGCCATGACAACAGAATCGCTTCGTTCTCTAGCACTCCAATACAGCGTCACAGTTCCCAGGCCCCCACCGATGACACCAGCCAAGAGACAAAGTGCTTCCTTTGACCTGAAAGAGCTTTGCTAATGCACCCTCTTTTCTCCTGGAACCAGCATCTAGAGCCAAAACAAGCCAAGCTGAAAACTAGAGTGCAGCTCTGCTTGACTAAGATTCTATGAGCTCAGTAAAACAGACATTCCTGGTAATGCCAGTTGGCAAAGCACCTCTGCTCGAGGCTCACAGAATTATAATTACTGGCAAATCATAATTATTGGCCCATCATAATTTCAAAGTAATCCAGATGCCAACTTTAGGTTACAGTAGTCTACCTCATTTCTTTTCTCCGTTAGAGAATAAACAAATAACCATTGTATCACGTTATACACTATTAGTATTAACTTACAAAATACAATCTTACAGTTTTCTGTGCCTTCTCAGACCACCTGCTTTATCTTAAAACCAAAACTCTAAAAAGGATGATTTAAATAACCATATCTGAATAACGATAAGTGAAAGATGATTTTCCTATTTGCATGTCCCCAGACTCCTTCCAAGAGCTGGCAAAGAAAAATGGGTTTGAAGAAAAACAAAGCAAGCTGATAAATACAGCAGCACGAAAGAGATTCAGGAGTTGTATACTGTATTGGGATCACTGCTGTTCGGGATTGGGAAGATCAAAGATACTACCCTGAACACCGTGTGTCTGAGAGGAGTGAATGAAAAAATGTCGTTTAAACCACGGTATGTCAATAATCTTGTATTTTCATCTCAACCGGAGATGAGGCTACACAGGACACTGTGCAAAGAAAATGCACAGGGGAAAAAAGGCCACCTTATCACACACTGCCCCATGAAAAGACAGGTGAACAGAAATGAAAACACGGGTATCAGTGCTCAGTTTTACAGTTCTGGGGAACGTATCTTTGCATGGCTGCAAATCCAATTAATGTTTCAGGGTTAATGATCTGTAGCCAAAGAACCAAACTCATAAATGCTGTAACCCACCAAACTCTGTAAAATGCTGTAAACCTCCC